ACCATTCCAATTACCCAATCACAAAAAACAACAAAATCGAATGGCTTTTGTTTGTAATTGGGCCAGTAAAAGGTTTGGCTAATATACTCACAATATTGGGCCAGGCTCATTGAAATTTGATGACTTGAGGGAAGCAAACTTTCAGAGATCGGAGAAGGAGGTGGAGGACCAGTGGTGGGTGGTCGGAGTGTTTGTTCTCCGTCAGGAGGGATGACAGGGAACTAGGAATCAAATCCAAGCCGAGAATCTTGCCAATACATAGAGCTTGATCGGCGAGAGGGGTGTTATAGGGACTGATATACCCTATATTTTACCACTTTTACTATCTATTTTACTATGATNTTTACATATATTAATAAAGCTTTTCGACCAAANGAGGTAGTTTTCTCGTATTTGTAGATTTTAAGGTCTTAACAGGTTTTATCATCAAAAAGATGTAAAATGGAGCAAAAAAAGTGTTATCTATGATGCAGCTACTCATTCAAGTCAAAGAAACCAAGCCAAGTCGTTTTATCTTGAAGATAATGCATATTTTCAAATTGGACATAACGCATACGCCAGAAGTTCACTGATGAACGGAGGATCAAATAAATTTGGAATTTAATGAAACTTGGTATGTAGATAGCCCTTTGAGTTGTCTTTCCAATGGAGTTGGAATTTCATCAATTGGAGCTGTACTNTAGAAGATACACTGGAAACACTGAGGACATGTCAAACTGCCTTCGAAGTGAAGTGAGTGCACAAGGAAGCCAAGCACCGGGTCGCCCATAGGCCGATGATCCAGACCTTTACTGACCTTCTAGAAGCACCTAGGAAGCCTCTAATACCGGTCACGAAGCCCGACCGGTATTGTGACCGGTATTGCCTCAGTTTTGACTAAAAAGACGTTTTTGCCCGAAGAAGCCCTAGCCGACTTAAGCCTCCTTAAATCCCTATATATAGTTGCTTTTAGCCTCTCTAGGAACTNAAGCAGCCGGCCATAACAGCCTAAATCAATACCTAAACATGTATTTCGTTTTTCTCTTGTTCTTAATGCATATTTGATTCTAAAAGTCTTTAAGGATAGATTGACTTTCCCCTATTGCGAAGAGATGAGATCTAACTCCTTACGCTTTGTAGATCAACGATTTATCTTTATGTTTATGTTCTTTACTCTTGCTGCTACGTGTTGCAAAACATGTTAGAGTACTAGCTTTGATTTGATTTCTATGCACCTTCTTAATTCTATGCTTTTACATACTTAATCGATTAGAGTTTCATTCCAGAATTG